TTAAAAATAACAATCAGTAAAATAAATAGCAAATAGAGATTTAATTATTAATATTGCATTGTTTACCAACCGTACCTGCTCACATGGTCTGTATAAAATTGATTTCATAAATGAGGCATTTAGAAATCGCATCTTTATGTGAATGATGCAAATGAATTTTCTTTATCTTGTTTTATTCAACCTTGCTTAATAATTAACGAGGACTATTCGAGCACAATTTTGATTGTCATTTGAAACCCTTTTTTTTTTGTCGCTTAATTTCACAAGTTTTTTAAAAGAACGCATTTCATGAATAAAGGTTTGAAGGAGTGCGTTCTCCTTGAGTGCCAAACAAAATAATCCAATTGAATAAGGTTGATATGAAAAGAAGAGGAAATACATGAAAGCAGTTAATTATATAAAGAAGGAAACATGAATGTTAGTTGGAATTCATTGTAATAAATGAGGACACAATAAAAAGCCAATTTCCCTAATAACACACGGGAAAATACGTGTATCATACACGAATCACGTAACGCATGATTGACTATGAATTCTTTAGAGTTTAATGATTTGACATGGAAGGAATAAGATTGTTCGAGAGGAATGAAGAAAATGATACCGTGAAAAATCGATTACTTTTATTCAAGTTAATAATACAATGATAATATTTTTTTGAAGCTTACTAATATTTCTGACAAGTTAGAATTTGTGGCGTTCCGAATTCATTGCCAAAAATAGGAAATTTGTGTAAAGAATAAATACCAGAAAGGAAGATAATCTGTAGATTAGAACATTTATTATCCCGAATCATATACTTTATGAAACAGGGAAGTGGCTTAAGACTTTTCATTTTAAACAATCACATCGGTCGAACCCATAAGTTCCTATGTAAGTTATCAAGTGTTTTATCCCTATTCGAATTATTCTTTGTTTGCTAAAAAAGATAATTTCAATAAAATCTGGTTTATTTCCTTCATTCTAATATTAATACTTAAAAACAATATCGTTCATTTACAGTAAATTTAATGTAATATTTTATTATTTTCGAAATAAAATATTGCAAAAAAAAGTCTTATAATAGTTTTTAATCGTAAGGTTAAAAGGATTAAAAAGGATTTAAAAATATTTTAATAATATAATGTTTAGAAAATTTGAATGTATGATTCAATATACGAACTTTAGAATATTCATATATTTTTTAAAATATTTTCGATCGATCGATTGTTAAAGTTTTTAATTTCCGAACAAATGTACTAGTATCATCGCAATTATTTATATAAAAATTCAAAAAATAATAAAATAATATGAATACCATAAAATGGATTTGTTTTAATTTAATCGATTTCACGATATTTGCGTTTTCATATAATAATGTGCATAGTTAATAATATGGAATTATGAAATAAATGAGATGTGTGGCAAACAGAAAACCAAGGTTATTCTAATTTTGCAAAATAAAATTTGAAAAAATTATTTTAAAATTTTATTATGGTTTAACAATTTTGTACGCCCGAATGATATTTTTTTCTTGAGAATATAAAGAGGAAGAATGGCTAGTGATCTTTTAGGTGCGTGCGATCATGCCTACTTCAAAATCATCCATTCTTTCCGCATTTAATTTGTGATCTAGACTTTGTAAAACCACGATTATAAATTTAGGCACTATAGCTGCTCATGTGCTGCGTGGGGGTTAATTACACGGATGAATTGTTCGAAAATGTAAAATACTTGTCGGAGACTTGGGAATTCTAGAAAAACCAAAGAAAGATTGCACAAAATACTTGAACAAGGCAGGTGCATTTTTTTTTTAGTTTAAACATTTATTTGTGTGCTACAAGTTTATTTGTTTCTCGAAATTAATTACGATTAAGAATATGATTACTTTATCGTTATCGTACCGTATAGCGGAATGACAGATCCGGGGATGTCACGTCGTGTTTTGTTTTTGAATATTACTAATGAGAACTATTTGATTCTAAAAGGCAGCCTTCTCATGATGAATAAATGCATTCTCCTTGAGTTCCAACAAAACATTTGGTGACAGTGAGAGGAACGAATACGTGCTTAATGTGAGTTAAGCAAGATGATATCATAAAGCAACAATAAACAACCGAATAAATAAAAGAAACATTCCTTGTCGAATTTTTATCGTGGTTTATAAAGACTCATTCATAAATCAATAATATCGTATTAGTAATCATTAAATAATCAGGTCACAATAAAATCGATTTTCTAAATGAAACTCGGGGAAATACGTGTATCAGGTAACGTCTGATTGACTACGATTCTTGTTTGGAATGACAAAGCTTTAGAGAAAGTTGAATGATTTAACTTATGGAGAGAATAAGATTGCTTAATAGAACAGACAAAAATAATACCAGGAAAATAAATTATGTTGCTAATGCATGACACGACAGTTTTTTGATGCTTATGAATGTTCGAGATTCTTCAAAAGCCTACTAATGTTTCCGACAAAGTAAAATATTTTAAAAAGAAAAACATTTCAAAAAGAAAAACGTTTCTATCATGATCGAAGTTTAATCAGCAAAAACCGGTTCACAGTACTTGCTTTCTATCACGTAATCCATGTAATTTTTTTCGAATTACTACCAAATATAGAAAAACAACAAGAAAGGAAGATGCATGGAACATGGATAAACTAATCTGTAGAGGACTAGAACAATCAGGATCCCCTATACAGCACTATGATAATATTGCGCCTGCATACGAATATTGTGGTGTGATACGTCGTACTATTTTTACTAATTGCTGTATAAGGGAATAATTTTCTGCGTATGGTAACAACACCCTTAACACCTATCGTTATTCACCGAATTTTTTTAACGAACCCTGTTTAGGGAGTGGGATTTATTTACGTTTTTTATCCCGTCGCCCGAATAATCAATCCATAATAAGCTCTCATGCAAGTCGTCACCGCGCAGAGCCTTCTAAAACATTTCTATACAAAAAGTACTTTTTCGTGAGTACTTCAAGTGTCTTTTCAAATTGTTTTTTGTTTGCTGAAATGGGTAATTCAAATAGGATCCAAATTTTCATTTGAATAAACACAAATGTGTGAACGAACGAATGAATGGAATTGATATGTCTATTATTTCATACGCTAATTTGAATTACAGGCGACAAGGAGTAAAATTCTCAAATGAGCTTCTCAAAGTCTTTAGTAAATGATCATGTCTTGTCACACATGTCTACGTGCGATAGATATTATGGTTGAGCGGGTACACGCAATCTTCATTTATCAACTATTCTTGCCAATTTTGTGTTTTATCTCGGAGGATCGAGGAAGTTGGAATTCGAGGAATTTTCTGGATTTCATACGTAATCTATTTTTTGGACGCCATGTGCAAGGTACGTATAACGAATCTCGGATTCCTTGTCATTCTAAAAATCCGGGTCAACTGAATCATTTCCAAAAAAAAAAAAAACCTTGTTTCAAATGAACTCGGATGTATCTTTTTTTCTTTTGCCATTGACAAATTACAATCATACAACGAATAATGGACTTTTTTTTTTTTCAATTACTTTGGGATCTCGTCCAAAACGAACAGTTGTCAATTACATACTGCACGTACTTTATTAATTGCTCATGCATATAGTGAAATTTTCATTCACATAACCCAGACAAATTAGCGTGAGTTGGGTGAAGCACATGGTAAATTGACATATTTCCCAATATGCAGGCTAAACATTAATTGCGGTGCACTCTGATTATTCGTTTTCCGAGGCTATTTTTAAATTTTCATTCTCTCCTTATTTGCGGTTAAATTTAGGGTATTTCTATAAATATTTTATTTTAAGATTAAAAATGAGTTATTTTATTGGTTTAATTGTTATGCTCATCATCATGCTGTCATCGCTATTAATAGTGACCTACACGCATTGCAAAATTCCTTGGTTATGCGTATCAATTTTTTTCACGGTTTCTTGGTCGTGTCTATAATTTCGCTTCGCCAAATGCGCACCTACGTCCTCTTCCGAAGAATACTTGATCGGAGTCGAATTAGCGAAGGTCGTAGATTAAACCGTTTTCTTTTCTTTCTCCAACTTCCGTTTCACATAATTGTTAATTTAATGCATAACGAAAAGTTCTACCGTTACACCAGATTTGTTAGAAAATCTCCAAAGAATTTCCAGGAAGATCTCTTATGAAAAGTCACTTGACTTGATGGAATATTTGTTTCATGCATGAAACAAGAAAATTTCATTTTAGTGGTGGTCTTTATTATTCGAGCATTCCTTTTTTTTTATGTTGTATACATCCCATACATTCTGCCCACTTAATTTAGAATTCTAATATGGCATGGATTATCACTTGGAAAAGTATAAATATATAGGTCCCGCAAAACCAGGAAATTACAATTTGCATCGCGTAAAAAATCTCTTCAAGACAACAGCTTCGCTGATAAAGAATTTTTTTCTAGACAACAGTTTTCGCTGATAAAAAAAATAAAATGTCAAACTTCAAGAATCTTCCAAGCACCACAATCGTGATCAACACCACCCCTTATCAGGCTTCTCAAGACTACCTTTTCTCTTCACCCGTTGTCATTTTTCCTGATGAAATGATCAACGAAGAGCCTACCAGCATCGAGGAAGGGGGATCATGTTACATTCCGTCCCCAATGGATCGTAGGATAGAACGTTATAAGAAGTTGAGAGCCATACATGAGCGTGCTGGTCGCCTGCCGAAAAGTCCTGTCTCTGAAAATGAGTCGAGAAACAGTAGTCATTCATCGACTTCAAGCAACCCTTCGGAAAACTAAAGAAATGTTAACATCAGGATTTCGGTCAATGATTAGACGAAAAATTGCACACACGATGACTAATGGTTATTTGGTTTTTCTCGTCAAACTACCCTTCTACCTCCGTCGTCACCGCCCGACCGTTTAGGGTGTGCTCTATATACCCATGACGCTTGGCGTTAATCATGAGGCACGGAGAATCGGCTTCGATGCCGCAAATTAGCGGGGGCGCCTGGAGTTTTGTTAGTAGCGGTAGTATATCGGAAAGGAAATCAACGCACAATGCCGAACTTCGCCTTTAAATTTTTGTGTAAATTAGCTTGGGTTTGATTCACATTGGTTTGGCGTATTTTGGATAATAAAGTAATTGTTTCCTAAAATTAGACACATGTATCTGTGCCGATTTTATGCACGCAGAAAAGCCTTTGGAAATAATAAAATAATAATAACAATAAAAATATTGTATTGATAAATAACAACTGTTGAAATGTGATCAATGGTAGTAGTAAACGAACAAACGAACGAACGAAAGGTTGTCGTTTAACTCTTTGAATTTTGCCGCGTCACGAACGCCGAGTATACTGTGTGCACTGTGCACACACGCATGTTTAAAACGTGATACGCACTTTCATAAAAAGGCATTTCATTATCTTTATCTTTCTTACTGTATTTCTTTCTTTTTTCTGAATAGCGGTTTCAAACTCCTCATGTCGCGTACAACCTTCCTTTTTAAACCATGTCATTCGAGCTTTCTGACATTGATCTCCGAAATATACAAATATTACATACTTATCTTTTTGGCCTTTGTCCTTGCCTCAAATATCTCCTGTTTGTTTGGCTGCACGTTTACTTTTGTTTACCAGTAAAGTTATCTAATTCTATCGTTATTACATGTGGGCGGCGATCAGCTAGTCCTTTTGTTCCAAATTTCTTTTTTCGTTACGAAGATCGCGTAACGAGCTTTGTAACAATGAAACCTAAAAACTTACTGTCACATTCATTTTGGATGCACCACTTTTTTTTCGTCGTACAAACTT